GTGTTCCTAGGTACAGTATACATTGACCATGAATTTATTAAAACAATGTAMACTCATATTTTAGCTGGGGAGCTGGTGCAGATCTGTGGGGACCTCACAGAGAAGAAGATGTAAGTAAAGTATACCATGCCTAGTAATTTAACCAGTAAAAGAACTCAGGACTTCTATTGGTCTTTCACCATATATTAATGATATTTTGTTATTGCATTTTCAACAGGCTAATAAGATTGTGATCTTTTGTTTGATGACAGGGTTTTAGTGCTGCAGACCATGATGATGGTATGATAGAGGTTGTTGGGTTAACTGGTGTCATGCAAATGGTAAGTCATGCTAAGATATAAATTAGACCAGCGCCCTAGGGTACCTGTTGGGTGCTCGTTTTGTGTCGGTTGGGTGCCTGTTGGGTGCCAGTTTTGTGCCTCTTGGGTACCTTTCGGGTGCCTATCACATCCCCTGTTCTCTCACCCATGAGAAATCCCTGCCACTCCCTTGGAAGTGGCACCATACCCCCACTCCTCCATTTCATCTTTTGGAGGACCAAAAAGGTTTCATCAGGGCTGCTGCTTCCTTACTGTTGCATTAGCATGCAGCAGCTAGGAGTCTCACTACCTCACTCCCCCTGGATTACATATCCAGCAGGCTTCTCCCCAGTATTTTGTCAGGTATTTTCCCAACAATTACATGGTACCCATTTAGACACCTGGGTGGAAAGAGAGAGACAATGTTAGAGTTAAATGTCCTAAAAACATACTTAGTGATCTCAATCCCTCATCAGGACTCAGTCCCTCATTATGCCTCCAGTCTTATAAATAATTTAATTATTTCACATCACTGCCAACAGAAATTAGAGTAATAATATACCCGTGAAATAGATAGCTAGCTAACTAATTACTAACTTTGTGCTATTGGTTGCCTAAGTCTAATTAGTTAAAGAAATAGGTGAGCTGTGATGGGTAAACTAGTGCACTTGTGCTAATCAAGGGCGCGCATTTTAAAATATTTTTAAACACACTTACAAAAACTGAAACAATATTTTATTGTACATGCTTTTACTTTGTATAATTTGACATGTTCATGTTTTCGCATTTATTCATTTGCTTATTGAGTTGTTATTCTAGTAAATGCCCGTGCCCTTGTCATGCCTCACTGAATTCCTATGTCTTGTCTAATCAAACTATCTCCTATTTCATCCTAACTATTTCACTGGTATATTATTTGCACTCTATTACATTTTGTTTTTAAATTAATTAATTTGTAATAATTTATGTTTGCTCTTGTAACAGGGTCAAATCCAGAGTGGCATGAGATATGGATTAAGAATAGCTCAAGGATCACAGGTAACATATAATCCAAGAATAATTWAACAAATCATTACATTAATATTATGACTATGGTCAATTCTGGGTATATTAGCTGGGGTTCACCCAATGAGTTTTGCATATTCAGGGGGAAAAAAAGGTCATATTTAATGTAATATATTTTTAAACCTTTATTCTTTTTGTAAAAAAAAGCAGAGCAGTCAAAGGGAGGCCTAGGTTAAACTCCACCTTCTACTACCCCAGATCTGCCCGAGTACATCAATAATAATTATAAAGAATGCCGGTAAGCTGGAGTAGCTAAAGTTTTCAAGTCAGTTTACCATCTTTCTTTAAAATTATTGATGTAGGCAGATCTGGGGTAGAAGGTGGGGTTTAACCTAGTCCTCTCTTTGACTGCTTCATCTTTTTTGGGCCACCTGTGCTTGTCGCAGAAGCTGGGAAGGAAGGGAGGGGTGTTTGGACTATCTAGACTCACCCATTTCTGCATAATAGCTGAATTTCCATTCTTACTAATGAACTATTTCCAACGCATTCCCGGGTAGGAATGATAATGGCAAGAAGGGATGCATGAACTCCCATATTGAACATCCTCTATRTTATATTCTCATAATAATGCTCAACAATGGAAGATGCTTTAAAAAAATCTTTAATTGCCATTTTTGATAATACATATACAGATCAATATAAGGCTCAAAAGTGAACTTCCAGTTCAGATTGATGGTGAACCWTGGATGCAGTCTGCTGGCCAAGTAATTATCCGCCCAGCACTCATGCAGGTAACACAAGTACAGTAGTCAGTCAGTAACACTATGTACAACTCTTGCACTGATACCAATGTACCACCTCTCCCTTTTACTCTACCCCCCCCCCTCCCTCCACACCTTAGACCTGTCCAGACCCCCCTGTCATACCCAAGGCTGGGAATGCACATTGTTGTACTTATCCCTTTTGTCCTGCACCAGGAGCCATTGATAGACCTTTTTTACTTGGGCATAATGTTTTCACATTACAGACCACGTAACATTCTCTTGAGAATAAGATTCTTCTTATGCAAAACCGTTCAACGAAGAAATGATACTCTAGGGAATGACACATTCTGTAATGAGAAAACATTACAAACAAGCTTATAAGGTCTAAGAGTAAATGGTTGGAACCCAGGTGTTGAAGGTTGTTGTGAAATGTGATAGTATTTTACAACAAACTTCAACACCTGGGTTCAAACCATTTACTCGACTTATACGTTCATTTGGATGTCAGAGCAAAAAACTTGCCATGACGATCACATTTCACAACAAACTTAAGAGGTCTATTTATGTAGATGGGGGAGAGAAAACTAGAAATAATAAATAGATGTGAAAAGGTAAACCATTGGRTATTATTATTCATTTTATCATTGAAGGCTGCAATGCTGTCAAAAAGAAGAGTCAAGGCCAAACAACTTCATCAAAGGGCTGCAATATCCAGACCCACCTCAGCACCTAATATTCCAAAYAGTGTCTTTTATAATGAGTAGAGAGAGCACTAGTATAATACTGGTATGCTCACAATAATCTTCAAGAGAAAGAATGGAAATGAGAAAATGAATGATTGAAATGGGAGGAACTGAAATCATATCTTCAACGTTTTTTATGAGCACTTGGAAGAAAGAGATTCCAAGTGATTGACTTATTCTAATCTTCAAGAGAAGTCATGTAAATGAGAAAATGTATGATCGAAATGGGAAAAACTGAATACATATCTTCAACATCTCTTACAAGTTAGAAGGAAGAGTTTCCAAATGATTGATATAATACTAATTATCTAAAAGAGAAAAAATGGGAATGAGGGAAAAATGATCGAAATGGGAGGAATGTAAATACAATGATCCTTTACATTTTGATCACTCATACAAACATATTCCTAGTGTACATATACCAATATCATGCAGATATTATTCAATAATCAATACAGTTATAGCACGAGCCATGCCACATACATAGAAAATAGAATCACATATTAAGTATTTCGTACAGAAGATTTGTTTTTTAATGAAAGAATTTTGAAATAAAACTTAAGACAAGATTTGCTGAGAAAACTGTATACAGTACGTGGTAATTTGTTAAGAAATTATGTAAGATAATTGTGTTATATATTGAGGTAAAAGCATTCGTTTTCATGGCAAGGTGCTACTTCAGGTAATTAAATTATAGAATGATTCATRCCATTCATTTTTGTAACAAATAATTACAATGGTACATATTGAACTGGATTGCTGATATTTTTTGTAAGTTTGTAATTTTTAAAGCAATCCAGAAATTAAAAAGATAGGTAAACATTTTGATAAATGTTCAGAAATAAAAGTTATGTGTTTTTAACACTGAGTCAGGTGGGTYATATTTCACTACATCGATTGTGATGGATGTGGAATATGCATTGTAGCAATGGATAATGCTGATTGTGGTCATGATGATGCTGAGGGTGGTCATGATGGTGATGGTGATGTTGTATTCATGATGATTATAGTGATGATGGTTATGGATGTGGGAATATGCATTGTAGCGATGGATGATGCTGATGGTGGTCATGATGATGATGATGGTTGTGGTAGTGGTGATGGTCCTGTTGATGTTCATGCTGATGAAAGTGATGATGGTGATAAATGTGGGAGCATGCATYGTAGCGATGGRTGATGCTGATGGTGGTCATGATGACAATGATAATGGTTGTGGTAGTGGTGATGGTGGTGGTGGTGATAAGGGATGCAAAATACAGCAATACCTTAAATACTGTATTATGACATTATTTCAATGCAAAGCTGTGATTAATCCATGATTCCCTGCTTGCTGACTGAGTTTTTTTTTCTTTTGCTGGGATTGAAAAAAAGTAGGGGAAAAAAGAAGCCTCTTCCAGCAGGGAAAACTCATGACCAAGTTAGAAAAAACCTATTAAACCTTTTAACAAATTTGCTGCTGAGACAATGAATTAAAAAATACTAATAAGTACTACCTAGATGATATTGCACAGTATCGAACTGGCTGGATTTATCTTCGTTTACTCTTCTTAGCATGTTCTTTTTTTTCCTTCGTGGCCTTTGGCTTGACTTGATCCTTTGCCTTCTTGTACAAGTAATAGACCAGAATAACAGCCAATGCAGGCCAGGTTATGATTTGCGCAAGGCCTTTGAAATCGAGGAATGGTTTTTGATCAATGTTAATGAGCTCYGTTGTGAATATCAGATATGAATCAGCTATGATACCCATGCCAAGATGAAAAATAAATATAAAACAAWWATAAATTAGAAAAAGTGATGGAAAATACATTCAGGATAAATCACATTAGGTTTATGTATATATGAAGGAGGGACTATGCCGGAGAATTTTTAATTGGTAGTTTATTATTATTATTATTATTATTATTATTATTGTCTTTTTTTTTCACTTATTAATATGGATGGGGGCTTGGTTATAGGTTTTTTTCATTAGGGTTGGGCTTATAGTGATATTTAGGTATTATTAGTCTCTCAGTTTAGTATACAGACGTATAGCTACTCTGTAGAAGAGCTGGAATAAACTACTACTACTATTATTATTATACTTATTATTATTATTATTATTATTATTATTATTATTTATTGATGAGAAACAAGTTTTACATTTTACCATAAGATAGGTAACTGCAGGGTGCACCAAGTCATTTTATGTTTATAATTTACAACTGTAAAGACGGTACTAGAAGAGAAAAGAATAATACTTACGTGGAATGACATTTGCTGCCCCTTGYTTGCCATAACCTAAATGTGGTGGAATAATCAACTTGCGCTTTTCTCTGAAAAAGAAAACGTATATGATTATGAACAGTCTTACCACAGGAAGCCCAATACCTGATTATGCCACATGATACATTCTAAAGCATCTGCCAACTTTAGCAAAAAATAAACTTAATTTCTTACTCACCCAACACACATTCCTTTGATTCCCTCTTCCCAGCCTAATGTAAGATTTTAATCRATAGTTATATAGCATCATTATCATTACTGATGACGTGAATCCCTTTCCATAAGAATGTGTAGTTCCAGGGGAGGGGATCTTAAAAAATTCCTCCATACGGGGTATGAATATGGTGGGGGGAGTCAGAGAAAGAGCAAAATTATAGAGTTTGTATGGAAGAAAACTGGAGTTTGATCCGGGGGTACGTCAGGTCTTAAAAACTTCCTCCGTGGGGGGTTTGGACAATTTTTGGAATTATACAGTAAAAGGACGCAAAACATGGCTGTCATGATGGTTGTGTCTTACAGTGAGGCCACTATAACCTGGGTCACCGAGACGGTGAGAATCAATCAAATTGTAGATGAATTCTAAAACAATGTCAAGCCAATCAGGAACCTAGACTGCAAGAGAATAGTAATTTGTTCCTGATGTTATGTGTAAACAAACTAGATAGCCATTCTTATTTTCTCGTGGGAATAAATGCAACTTAAAAGGATATGTTAAAAGGCTATTGTTTTCTGCTGATTTCTGATTGGCTCCACTTATGAAAGTTGGAATCTATTGTTTTCATTTTACAATTTGATTGGTTCTCACTGTCTAGGTGACCCCAGGTTTAGTGGTCACACTTAAAAGAATACAAAACCCTAGTGCATTGGGCTAGACCAACAATCTAACACACATATAGCACCATGGCTGACTATAGGACGACCTACCTCTAATTACTCTTCCTCTCCCTAATTCAAACTTGATTGGCTCTCTTCCTTCTGTTAATGATGAGTCAAACATCTTGCCATTTTCTAACATTCCCTGAACGACAAACATATGTTATGTTATACAAGGGCATAGCCAGGGGGGCCAAGGGCCAAAAACCAATGCAAACCCAGAGGAAAACCTAGAGGAAAACCCAGAGGAAAACGCAGAGGAAAACCCTTGAATTGAGGGAAAGATATAGCAAACTGTACTCACTGCTGAGTCCAAGAATAGACCTATCCTGAATTCGCTTGACTGACCACGAAACAATGGTTTGAAGTTGAGATTGAACTTGAATCTTTTACTCATCAAGTCCAACCTCAACTTGAAACCATTGTTTCGTGACCAGTCATTTAAGCAAATTCAGGATATAGGTTCTCAGCCAGTAGTGTCAGGTGAGAGTTATTGAATGCACTTTGTAATAACAGCTACACCACCCTTGATTTCAAAAGTATAAGGAAATCATTATAATTAGAGGAGGGGCTATATAGATTTAAAGTTTTCGCTGATATCTTTCTTTCCCTTAACCTAGCTCTTCATAATATACAACAGGTATCCCAATTTTATTAAATACATCCATATTGAAATTCTAACCGTGTAGTGAACCGATACAACATCACCAGTCCTTGCTTTTCTACTGCAACTTGCTGGTTTGTACTGAACAAAATAATAATAATAATAATAATAATAATGAATAATAATAATTTTATTCTTGCGCTTTACATAAATATCTCAATGCTCTTACAATATATAATTAAATAAATGAATAAAAATATTAAATCTATATACATATTTAAAATATAGCAATAATAGCAGAAGAATAGAACAATGTAAGAAGATGTAAGGAGAACAATGTAATCAAGACAACAATTTCTAGACCATTAATTGGCAACACTGATGAAGTTAATGTCTTTTCCTTTTTACTCATTCAAACACCAAATTATATTTACTTTGTGCTAGGACATGAAGAAGTTTTAAAAAGGGAGGTATAAAATTGGACAGTTTTTCCTGCTCGTTGATGTCCTTTGATATGTTTACACARTCAAGTGTTCTGCATGAGTTATTCATAATATATTTGCTTCCCGACAACTTTGTGTAGATTAATAAAGCCTATCTATACTCCAAGTTGGTAATAAAGTATCTTCGACTCATTCATAGATAAATATATTCAAAAGTAGCCAATAATTTAGAATAAAAATGAAAGAAAAATAAAGTGAAATGTATAAAAATACGGCATAAAAAAATTAGYGAGATCGATTGAATGCAGGTGCATTTCTGCGTTTTCAAAACTTYAAACCAAATTATTAAACGCCTACTTTTTACCCTGTGCTTAAAACCTCTTATACTAGGTTGCTAACTTCAAAGTTAATTCTTTCTAAGATTTTTTATATCAAGCTTAAATCAAATGAGGTCAAATATTGGTTTGTAGCATTATCAGTTAGATACACCAAGCATCAAATATTAATATTGATTTTGCGGGCTTCAATCGGCTTCAAGGTATAAATCGAAACGTTAAAATACTTAAAACACCTTTACCTCAACAACTATCTCCAGATCATCTTTTCTTTTTGCTTCGCTGGAACTTGCCGCTATTAATGAACACCATAAGATTACTAAAAACATCATTTTCTGAGGATAAGCGCGAGATCTCGGGATAAAACGAAAGACCTTAGGGCAGAAGAGAAAAGCCAGCAGAGTGTCCAATTAGTGAAAAACACCAGGCGTTCCTAACTACTTTCAAAGACACAGGAAACCCACTTGTTAAATAAGAGAATCCAAGATGGCGGACGAAGAGGAAGAAATGGAAGCGATGTCTCATCCAGAACTAATGGCCTTGTTTCGTAAGGAGCTGAATAAACTGATGCAGGATCCCCTGCTGGCTGATTTGCCGTCTGAACCGACAGTTGAGGAAGTGAATGCCCAGCTCGCCTTAGAACATGGTCGTGCTATTGTGGTTAATGTGAGACAAATGGATGATGTTGGAACCATTCTGCGTTAGTTTCTTATATATATATCATTATTGATCTATTAGATTGTAGAACGTATGGATCAATGATATTGTTTTGTTTAAGAACCAATTAATATATTTGATAATAATAATAATAATGATGGGATTGAGGGGTTGACACTCATATGATGGTGATAATTATTATGATAGCATTGCTTGGGTTACACTGGGCATTATGCCAGATGCTTAGTAAACAGATGGATGGGGGAATAAACAGTGGGATGGATAGATGAATGATGGATGGGGGAATGGATGGATAGATGGAAAAATGTGAATAAATTCTTTTCTGAAGTCAACAATGTGGTCATGATAATGATGATGATGATTATAATATGATGATGATGAATATGGGGTGGTTGAGAGCAAGAATACTACAGTACTAGTATACTCGTATCTTTACATGTATTTTATAAACACTTTTTATGTCATAATGTGCTCATTTTCCTTTATGTTTTGATATAAAACTGAAGCAATCACAGTATATTGTTCTGATTCTCTCAGCTGTGGTTGTTGTTCAAAATGCTACTGTGGATGATCTTAAAAAAGCTATTAAGAGACACATTACTCTAAAGCAAGAACGAGAAGGAGGGACAATCACTAACATCAACTGGTAAGCAATTCCTTATGAGACAACAAAAAATATGTTATTGATGTCTCTAGACAAAATGAGCAGAAGCTTGCAATTGCTGGTCACCCTCACAACCATTTTAGTCTCTTTCCATTCCCCTATTCAAGGGTGGATCCAGCCAAAATTTTAGGGGGGGGGGGGGGGGGGGGGCTAATTGAGTTTCTTCTGTCAACACACACACAAAACAGTTTTGTTTTGATTTTTTCTGCTGAAGGGGGCTTCAGATCCCCTTTGCCCTCCCTGGATCCACCTTTGCTATGGTTCACTTCTCTCCCCATAAATGTTTGTGGGGAGAGAAGTGGACCATAGGGGAATGGAAAGAGTAAAACAGCTGTGAGGGAGAATATGCATATGCTGATAAGGCATGACTTTGAATTTTCGTATCATATTTTAAGGAAACATGTTTGGAAGACCTATTTGTTGACATATGATGGTCAGAAGCTAACAGAAGATCATAAACCACTTAAAGAGTAAGTATGAAGGTAGATTATCAATGGACTCTTTTAGCTTGGACATAACTTGTCCCATTTCAGACCATGTGTCATCCCCTAGAGTATCATTTCTTTGTTTAGATAAATCATAGCAGAAAAGTTGTATTACAAAATAGATCATTTCACAGATCCCACAGCTCAACCTCAGCCTCATGAGCATGTAATATATTCTTTAGAAATTGCCTACAACCTGTGAAATTTTTAAGTGTTTCAATTGAGTTCGTTGATGTATAAATTCCTTTCATTACTGCGGACTGTAGTCAAATTCTAAAGAATAATTACACGCTGACGAGGCTGAGGTTGAGTAACAGGATCTGTGAAATGGCCTATTATATAGCTAGAAAGGGGATTACAGAATGGAATAAGCTTAGAAACAAGAGAGTTACCAACCCCCTCATAAACTATTGCCAGTGATTATTACTGAATACTAAAACAGATTTTTGATTGTTCAGGTATGGTATAACCAGTAAAGATGTAGTCACCTTCACAAAAAGACTAAGACGAAAATAACGAAAAATGGTGTATTTTCATAACAAAGAGATGAATAGCTGGTTAAATTTCCCAAAAAAATTTTCATTTGTGTACATATGTATATAATGACAATGAATAAAATTATATTATTGCTTTAAAGATAAAATAATATTTTTCAATCAATAATCTATCTTTCAAAATAATGTCATTTTGTATTTTATTTCTTGCTTTAAATTTTCTTTTCGACTTTTGTTTTCTTGGTTTCTTCTTTTGTCTTTTTTTTCTTTCTTTTGAACTCCCTTAACTTAAGTTTTTTCCTTTTCCTTATCGTTTGCTTTTTTTTCTTTTATTTCTTTTAATTTTATTTTGCTTTGCTTCATCATTCCCCTTACTGGGCTTCCTGTGACATAGCTTGAATTGACCAATCAAGTCGAAGTACACATTACCTTTTAAAAATGGCGCCACAAAATCTTTTACGAACTTTGCATCGGYCCAGCGGGAACATTAAAGAACTATCCTACCATTAAAACTATTCCAAATTTACTTAGAAATTTATTAAGGTGGATCGATAGGAAGAAAATGAACTTTATTTGCTCCTATCGGGATTGTAGTTTAGGCGAAATTGAAACGGGCAACGGCCGAGTTGAAATACGAGCAAGTCTTCCAAAGAAAAGACCCAAAGATTTCAAGACTTTCAAATTAAAATGGCAAGAAAACGGTGATGCAGTACTTCATCACGACTGTTGGGAAACAATAACCAAAGCCCTTCGTTCAAGAAGCAAGAAAAATGTACCCTCGTTAAGTACGATGGAAAAATCTCTCCTCCGAGAARCGACCAAAACTGCAGAATTCCACGACGCCGATGAGAAGCTCGAAGAAGAAGCGAAGCGAATATCTGAAATGATTCAAAAAGCTGAATATTGTGTAGTGTTTTCAGGTGCTGGGATTTCGACTTCTGCAGGTATTGGTGATTATCGAGGTAAAAGTGGAAAATGGACTGAAGAAGAAAGGTAGGTACACTATATTAAGAGATCTAGATCTGATCTGGGTAGCATAGTGGTCAAGGGAAGAGGGGTACAGAACTGTTTATAGTGGTCACTAAGGCTGCGTTCATAACGTATGGCAGAGGGGGGCAGGTGAAATTGAGGGGGGATCGGGAAAAATTTTGGTAGGAAAAAGGGGGGATGGGCAAATTTTTATCAGAAAAATGGGGGGATGCACAATTTTCGGAAGAAGCTACAAGCCTTGCTTAGGGGGGATCGTWTTTTTTGCATGACTTTAAGGGGGGTGTTAAGAATTATTCTGGMCATTTCAAATTTTCACGKGCCCCCCCCCCCCCTCCTCCTCCATACATTATGAACGCAGCCTAATGCATTTGTTAAGCACTGCTGCTTTTCTTCGTACAGTTAAAGAGGAGCCCAATTTCTTTCTTAGTTTGTCACACCTACAAAAAGTGCACTAGTAATGCCAGTATGTCAATCTTTGGTTTTACTGTCTTTCCTTTAGTCTTTTCATTTCTTTTCCATTTTCCTTCCCTCAGTTCTTTCCCTTCTTTCCTTCCCTTATTCTTCCCATCCTTACCTATACTTTCATTTTTTGTATCAGAATGGTAAGCACTTCAAGTTTGGAAGCTCAAGAAGATGACGATGAAAATCATGACATTGAGCCAAAAAAGAAAAAGTCTTCTGGTACATTTATCCTGATAGTTTCATTCCTAGGTTGTAAATTATTAGGTGGGGGTAGGCATTATTATTTATTTTTTTGTATATTTTTTTATCAAATAAAGATCATGATGATAATGGGAGTGATGATGATGATGACGACGATGATGATGAAATACCCGAAGAAGGAGTTCCATACGAGCAGCTGAGACCAACTTACACCCATGAAGCAATCTACAAACTCTTCCAGATGGGATTCATCAAACATGTCATCAGCCAGAATGGTGATGGTCTCCATGCTTTGTCTGGGTTCTCGTTAGATCATCTCTCAGAACTTCACGGCAATGTGTTTCTTGAGAAATGTGAAAAGTGTGGAACTATTTATGAGAGAGATTACTATGTGCTTGATGATAATGGTAGTTCTTATTTTGAGGAATTAAATGAGTGTGGTGCTTCAGACATCAAAAAACCAAGAAATGCTAGACAGTGTGACATGTGTGGCTTGACTCACAGGACTGGTAAAAAATGCATAAAAGAGGTAACATCCGTTCTTAATTATTTTATTTAATAAACACTTTAGCTTATGCATTAATTTTAGGGTCTTTTTGCATGTTCTGCAAAAACCTATTGTATTTTTGCTACAGGGGCGGATCCAGGATTTTTTCAAAGGGGGAGTTGTAGCATTGATTGAGGTACTTGTTTGGCGGGAAAGTAGCACAGGGTTCCCAAAYGGAAGTAGTCTTATGTTAATGATTATTTGCTGCAGGCGAGCATGGTTGTTTCAGGTCCCACACACGGCGTATAGAAAAAAAAGCGAGCGAAATGTGTTCAGCACCCCTGTTTTAATAAAACTCGCGATGTTGTTGGTATTTTCATAAAAATWWWAWAAAATCACGATGGCTCTCATAGGGGGGTTGCAACCCCCAAAACCCACCCCTAGATCCACCACTGTGCTAGCTCCCTTTCCCTCTTCCTTTAGTTATACATTTGCTGACCCTCAAGATTGATCCTGTAGTAAGAATATCTAATCATTCAAAGATCTGTTTGCTTAAATTTGCTTATGCTTTAAATTGTTACTGTCCTATGAATATGGAAGTACTTTGCCTAGTTGAGATCCAGTGGTATCCTTGAAAACAGAATATGATATGGTATTTTTTTAAGTCAATGGTGTTGCAATGGTCCGAGTTAGAACCACAAACAGAACAGAGAGTTATTATATCTAGCACTAATTTTTTTCTGCTGCATTTTACTACCCCCAATGAGTAAAGCTAACGTTTTTACATGCAGTCCTTTCATTACTAATGCTCATCATTTTATTAGGGCTGTAAAGGGTTTTTAATGGACACCATTATTAACTTTGGCGATGATCTTGAAGAAGAGATATTTGGAAGAGCAACAGCTAATGCTAAGAAGAGTGACCTGATGCTTTGCCTGGGAACAACATTGACTGTTACACCTGCTAATGAACTGGTTGAGGTTGGGAAAAAGCCTCTCAGACTTGTAATATGTAACAGGTATTTTGGCCTCCTTGGGCAGCCTTTAGGATTTTAGTGCAACACTCTCCCTTGTTGCATGGAGATCCTATAAAAGACTGCTGCAACGAATAGTATAAAAGGGATCAGAATCATGGGTTGTGCAGGGCACTCATCTCTCATCTCTGGGGTCACAGGGTCACCGGTCTACGCTTGTACGTATAGTCTGTTGTGTCTCTTTCTTGATTAGAGGCTGTTACTGATTTTCCTTCCTCAGAAAAACCCAACACTTTAAATTCCAATTTGGTTTAAGAGATGGTAACATGGACCCTGACTTAGAACAAAACAAAATAATTATAATTTAATAAAAGTTAATGARACTTTAATAATTTTAGATTTGTTTTGGTTACAGATACTCTCATCAGTTACATTTTCCTGTGACTTGTAGACAGGAGGTGGTTCAATTTTCATCCCATAAGATTAGTATGAAAGGGTCTGAGATTTGAATGTTTTTTTCCCCAGACAAAAGACATCACTAGACAAGGTTTGTCTCAGCATGGATGAGAGTGACAGACCTCTTGGCTCTAGAGTGTTTGGGGACTGTGATTTACTCATGAGAAAGATCATGTCAAACTTGCTCACACCTCAAGAGCTACAAGAATGGGAAAAGAAAAGGGAAGACAGGATGAAAGACTATGACTCCAAAAGAGCAACAAACATTTAAAAAGTTTGAAATAAGGAACAGTGGTCAATGATAATTGCACTAAGGATGTCCTTGCTCAAAAAAAGATGGAGTTATTTTCTGTTCAAGCAGAATTGAGCTAAGAAGCATGATTTATCTCTTCTGAATAGAGCAGTTTTCGTAACAGTAGGAAAGGATGCAGCAAATTTGTGGCTGTGATGCAGCCATACCATATTTTTTCCTTAGCCATGACTACGATTATGGATGAATTACTGATCAGAAAGACGATGCGAAGCCATTTCAAAGTCAAGCCATTCCAATGTCAGTACTGATGTTTCCTCATAAAAAAACACTCTTTATTTATTAAGTAATCATTTTTGGATATTTGTAATTACAATAAATTGACATTAACATAGATCTATAGATGTCAAGATTTACAGCTGAGACGATGCCCGCAGTGGCCCATCTTCCCATAACACCTTGCCATCACATGCACAGTATTTTTTTGTATTTTGAAACAAACCAGCAGATCTTGCAATGATCCCACAACCAACCCTAGAATGGAAGAAGAAAAGCAGATCAACATCGACTAAGCTACACCACTTAGTAGGAAACTAATTGGTAAATGCACAATGTATTGGGATTCCCAATTTTCATTCAATAAAACACACATAATCGACTTTATGGGATTTTGATAGAAAAGTATAATATATCCACCCATTCCCCACCCCCCATCCCCTGAAAGAGAGGGCATCAATCACAGACACATTCAGCTTGAATATAATGTTTTCCCATTTCAGAAGCACATAAGTCAAATGCATTTTCTTAAATTTACTGGTAAGAAGAAAACCAATAATCAAGCTGAGCTACATGTAAAATGGGAAAATATTAAGCAGCCCAAGCTGGTTCTAAGTGGTTCTATTTCTTGCCCTTTTCTTTTCAAAACAGTTGGCACTCCAGTCAGTCTAGTTATAGATTTTATTTGGAAAGACAATTAATAAATTGCATCTGCCACCCCAATGCATACATTGGAGGGGTCAAACCTGCAAGCTTTATATATTGAGAGATCAAACCTGCAAGCTTTATATTATTGAGAGATCAAACCTGCAAGCTTTATATTATTGAGAGATCAAACCTGCAAGCTTTTTTTACCTTGATCCTGAGTTGCCAGTAGACTTGGAGAGCTCATGACCACCTCTTCCTAAGTCATCTTCCCCTTCATGAACAACTACTGCACGACCAATAATATCCCAAACCTGTGTAGCAATGACTATTAATTATAAACATGTAGATAATATGGGATTGAATCTGATATTAAATACTTAGGCTCAGATTTCCAGCCACCAGGGTTTCATATGCGCTTGCTTGCAAAACCAGGGTGGYTGGAAATCTGAGCCTAATAAATACTGGGCTGTTTATATTACTACATAAAGTAAGATGGGGTGTCTTTGAACCCTTGGTGACTGTGACAGTAGGAAAACAGTCTACTGACAATCACAGTAGGACATTCAACTAGCAAAGCTGTTATCCTCATACCCTTGCACAGTTATAATAATAATATCTGGGATGACATGTCATGATTGTATAGCAAGAAGGGATCTAAAATATGTGAAATATTCTTCCCAATTTAAGAAGTTCTATTTTTTTCTAACTAAAATGTTTAAAATCTCTCACCTTGACTTTTCTGTCTTCCATGCGAAATGTTGCTCTTCCTTCAGCATTTGCCACAATGTTACCCAGATCTCCAACATGCTATAATTTATAGCAAAGTGATCCCAAATTAAGAATCAATTTGATTAAATTTTCAGTCAAGAAAGAAAGAGTTGATTATTATCAAAACTAATCATGTCCATATTTAATACATACCCTGTTTTCATCCTCAGGTCCTCCATGCTCATGATTTTCTGGATTGAAATGTTTCCCTGTGCTAATAATGTGTGAAAATGTGAGCTCAAATTTTAGTTTGAGTCCAAGTCAGGCTATTTAAAAAGTTGAATCATTTGCTTTTAACCAAAGCTGAACAAGTACAAATGAGTCAGGGCTGGTGTGAAAAAAACAAGAGAAAAAGGATATTATATTCTCTACATATTTTCATAAAACATTCTATATTTTACCTGTTGCAACCATTTGAAAAGTCTCCATACTCATGAATGTGAAAGCCGTGAAGCCCAGGAGACAATCCATCTATCGTACCATCAATGACACAAGTATTTCTTGAAACCTGCAGCAGGAAAAACAAGAATTAAAATTGCATTGYTTGTCTTTGATGTACCAACTTAGTGTGTTGATTTACCAACTCAGTGTGATTAAAAACCTGCCAATTAAGTGTGATAACATACCTGTACAAACCTGGTCAAACCCTGCACTTTGTTTGTCCCTTCTATCATTGCAACTGCTGCTCCAAGATGTTGAGGTTGTGAATCTGATATACAACAAAAACCTTGATTTCAAACGATTGATGTCCACCCAATGTACAAACCAAGTACTCATGCTCCAACCAGTTGTTGCAATTCATGAGAAACACCAATTAAAACACAAAATTAACGAGATTAACAGAGTGCAAACCATATATTATCTGAAATAGTGCTAACTAATTGGTACAAAATAGCACAAATGAAACAACTGAAAACAAAAGAATTAGATGTGTTTAGTGCTATTTCATGGATATATGGTTTGCACTCTACTAAACAATATTTACCTCCACCAGATCCATGACCCCTTAGAATGGTCTTCAGCCCAGTGCCTTCTAATATCTCTTGAACTCTACCTGATGCTAGAGTAGTGTCAACAACAACACTCTCTTGACTGAGATCCACTGTGTATGAATCRATGCCTATATCAACGGAGGGGCTTTAGTTTATTATATCTGTTAATCAGATTTAGCAGTTCAAGAAAATGTTGGTTTCTGTCCCTAACACTGCACACTTGAAACCCTTCCTCCCCTTTGCAATAAATTGTTTTAAAGTTTCAGAAATTGTGTTTAAAATGTTTATGTTTTTAACTTTGATTTATTAATAAACCTCACGATTAATGCCACCCATCTACCCTAAGTATCACCCACATGCTGTTCAGCAAATCCCTTCAGACACATAATGCCAAATGTCACTGAGTCATGATTGACAGCTAGTGACAACTGATGACTCACCCTTGACACCCTCCAGAGCTTTTGTGATCTTACTGACACACCCTTGACACGTCATTTTCACTGCAAATTCAATCTACCAAATAGAGAATAATTCAACTGCATTGCTTATTCAACCAACAAATCAGTAATCGTGGCTTTTTTTCCTAAATGGAAAAAACTGACGCATTTTAATTTTCTCACCTTCGTTGGTGTTGGACTTTGGCCAGCCATTTTGCACGACGCAAAGTAAGACACCCACTAAAAATCTGTATATCAGCTACCGAAAAGGCAATCTTGCTCCCTTGACAGTCAAATCTGAATATTAAGCTAAAATATGGCGATTTTCCGCAGAAATTTAGGACTTCTCTCTGCAAAACGATTACTCAATTTTCCGAAATAGAGTTTTAACCAGGCGTTCCGCGCATCTGGACGGGTAAGCCTGGTAACATTGACATGCGCAGTAGCAGGCGCACGTGAAAGCCCGGGAAAAAGAAAATGGCGGATCAAAGTGAACAAGAAGAAAATCTCGAGCCTTTGGTTATATTTTACGACAGTGAGGCCTCAAACGGGAACGTTTATTATGGAGATGTCATCGAAATTGCTGCTACTTGTCATCCTGGTGTGGTGGTGGGCTCGTTTGAGAGGCTTATTAACACAAAACAAAACCTTGGCTCCTTCGGTGAGTTGAATGAGTAGCAACACGACGCGACAAAAGGACGAAATATTACTCAGAAATAATCAAAATACTATTATAATATCTTCATTTTAGACACAGTATCCCTCGATGCGCACTCTATTAATRCAGTTTTGTGTATTTTAAGCCTCCTTTAGGGTCTATCTTTCAAATATGCGGTTGCTTCGTTGAACACTTTTTTAATTCGTTGACGCATTTTGACATTCCAACTTCAAAAAACTCAAGAATAATCATGACAACATAGATTCTCATGTTATATATTTTATAAATTCAAGCTCTGCAGATATCAAGATAATTTCAAACAGGCCTTCATTTATAAGATTTAAGCAAATATTCATTTTCGCCATTAATCATACATTACTCTAATTCATTTTGGGCGTACGTAAGAGACTTATGCAACACTTATCTCAGGTTTATAAATTTGTGCTATGTTTATTATCTGTTTTTGCCTGTCCGCTATAAATTCTTTCAGTTTTAATGGGCGTTGCTTTATACCTAATAAATCATTCTTTTATTTAAGTCATTTTGTAATAATTTTCATTCATTATTTGTCAAAAATCTATTTCCCCTATCATAATCGAATTATATTATTCTTCTATGGATCAGTAATAACACTAAGCTGAAATCCCCAAATTTTTGGTATCCTAAATTTTTCAAACAAAATATTCAGTTATTTATACCTATGATCTAACCAGACAGCTCAAATTGGTTGCAATTATTTCAAATTAAAAATTCAAACATTAAAACTTTTTCAAGCATGATGATAATCAGTGAAGTGTGAATAAAATACACAGTATAAATCTTTCAATCTTTTTCTTATTTTTAAAAAATATAACATAAAAAAGATAAAACAGAACAATTTATTAGTAGTTTGTTACTTACTACTGACAATAATTATAAAAGATATCAAATGATACATGTGTGGAATTATATTCAAACAAACATGCATATCTTGAGTTGATATTTTGATCTAAAATTACACTCACCAGGCTGACTGCCCTTTGCACTAAAAGTGTTGTTTTTTTAATATTTGATTGTGAGTTATACAACTTCCAGAAGTCTTGATTTTTGACTTATGCCAAGCAAACAAAAAGCTCAGACCATCAAAAAATTAATTGACAAAAGGCAAAACTCTTAGCAACACAAATTTATGCCACAGAGATTCTTCATTTTCAGCTACCAGAAAAAAAGAAATTTTAAGTTTCAAGTGCTATATTCTTTACAGCTTTCATTCCATCCTGACTAAATAATTATATGTTTTGATTTCAGCAATTAATGAATCTGGTATCACAGAAGACTTACTTGAAGGCATGYCATTTATAGATGAAGTGATGTATGAATTCCTGGACTGGATAGATGAAATGGTTGTCTTAGCACAAAAAAAGAACAATACTTGTTATTTTCCAGGTATTTTGAATTGATGATTTTTTTCATTTTAAGTGAAATATTGAGAATAAAATTGAATTCTATGATAAGGCCTACTGAGTCAATATTTTCTCATTACCTATATACCAAACTATCTTAGAGATACTGACTGTATTTTGCACTTTTGGTAATGATGTCTAATGACAAAGAAATCTAGAGGCCTTATCATATTTTCATACTACTTACTGGCCTGTTAGATTGGATTGATCGCATAGTTCCTGTTATGAAACAGACCTCTTTAGCTTGGCCGTAATATTTACAGACCATATTGTCATTCTCTTGAGAATAAGATTCTTTGCGATTAAGTGACATTTAACATCATTGAAATATTTCTGGAGGGAATAGATCCAGTCTTAGTGCAACGTTTTCCCATTACAGACCACATGTCATTCCCAATAGTATCATTTCTTTGTTTAACGGTTTTGTATGAGAAGACACATGTATATGGATACAACACAAACAAAGAATCCTACGGTATTTTTTAGGGAATGGCTTGTGGTCTGAAATTGGGGAATTTATGCCCAAGCTAAAGAAACCTTTTGGGTATGACTTAGAGAAACTTTCTTAACCTATGATAACCTTATCTTTTCAGTACTCTGCGCACATGGTGGATATCAATTTGACTTCCTGATATTGTTTGCTAACCTCGAGAGGAAAGGAATGCCATATAGTAAATTTAGTGACTGCAATATACATTTTGCTGATAGTTTCCTATTCTGTCAGAAGGTAAGTAAGCCGGTACTATCAATTAATCTATGCTGTGAGAAATCTATAAAGCTGTTTTTCATTTGCAACAAAAGGTTGAGCAGATGAGCATATTATCTTATAGGATCTCATATTTTCTCATTTTCATGAGAAAAGTTGGACTGAGACTATATAGATTTGCTAGTTATACTTATGTTGCAAGCGTAAACCATGTAGACTGTCCTTGGAATTTAAAAAGTTTAAGGATCCTAGAAGTATTTAAATTGGGCAGCAATAGACGATCTATTTGAATTCATGTAGCTGATAATAATGTAATATAGTATACTTGTATTTACCTTATTGTCATATCATTATTTTTTATCCAGCTTCAACAAGATGGGAATAAGTATTTACAAGACACAAGGCTTTCAATAGATGGACTGTTTCACAAATTTTTCCCCAAACACACAATAAAAGGTATTGGTGTGCTCAGCTGATCAAGTCATGTTATGTCAAATCTCCAGGGGACCAGAGAAGATTATTAAAATAACCAGGATTCTAGATGTCCAGGGTATAATACTCTACAGTCTTATGTGAAACACGCCTTAAGCTCAAGCTAACAGAAAGTTCGAGACAAGGCTGCAAATTATTGACAATCATCGAACGAATGTCCATTAAAAATGGCCATTTGATAAGTAAATGTAGCAACACTTGGATTTTTACAGGCTAAATGGTTCAGCCAAGTGTGTCTTTGGCCTGACAAATGATCTGCATATCAAAAAAATATTTGCAGCCTTGTGAGATCTCGGACTGGGTTTGACATGAAAGGACCCTACTGCATGTATTAATGTGCTTTCAGTTAGCCTGCATAGCCCAGTTCTGGGGGGAGGGGGAGGGGGAGGAGGGGAAGAGGAGAAGAAGGGAGAAGAAGGGAGAGCCTACTAGGCCTTACGGGCAGGCCCTCCCTTTTATCCCTCTCCCCTCCCCTTCCCCCATATCCCCTCCCCCCTCCCCTAGGGCCGAGCTACACAGGCTATGCTATCAGTGTACCAGTGGAACTTTTTCAAGTATATACTCAATTCATTTGATCAATTACATTTTTTATTTTTGATAATGAAAAAAAATGATTTTTTCCTTAGGACGTCATCGAGCTATRGGGGATGTGAAGGCTATGGTGAAGATATTCACACAAACTCCTCTGAAAAATGTTCTAAACCTTATGTCAGTCTCTACTACATTAGAAAGGTATATGATGTACTGTTTTCACAATAGTGACAGATGTCTAACTATCACAACCAGAAAGCTTTGTGTCCCTAATAGAATCGTAAATCTCACAGCCATGCATTAAAAGTGGAGCTCACAGTAAAATGTCAAAACAAGATCACACTTTTTCTAGTTAGAATTTACATCAAGTCTTTTGTATTGTCCTGTTAGCTTGGCGTCACAGATAATTTTAAAAGGGTTCTATGGGATGACTGAAATCCTAGAAGGGGAAATAAAGTGGATTTGAAAATAAAGAATAAAAATCTTTTATGTATTTGATATAGATCAGTGCAATTGTAATCAGTATTGGTTAGGATGAGAGTTGAATTTCTTGTCCTAATAACGTTGTCTTGTCTATTAAACCTATAGCAAGTTTGCTGTTACTGAGACCTTTGGAAAAGCGTTTTAATAATAAATTGATTACATATTTTTTCTTTCAGAATAAAATATTTTGTTTCTCAGTCTAGTTCTAAAGAACAACAACTGATTTTGGAAGGTGAGTGTTGATAACACAGTATAAGTAGGTTAGAGCTAAATAATGAACCTTGCTTGGATCCCAGATTTTAAATTTCAGGCCTCGAAATAGCCATGTGCAAACTTAAAAAATGCCAAAGGCTTACGTGACTTTTTGAGCTGAGGGGGGAAAAAACTTGCAAGATTATGCGTCTTATACTGATATTTTAGTATTCTTTTTTTCATTTTTCGAGTGTTAAACTAGCAAATTACTTACTTGTGATTTTGCCATTTCTTGCCCCACAGAAAAAATGTCCTCTTTGGATGCATGTAGCCGCAACATGTGCAGTAAACGTCTGATCAGAGAGGGGTTGACTTACGACCTTTTAAAAACCGTTTTCCAGAAGTGCTCCTCGTACATGGATTTCTGGCAAACCCTTAAGAATATTGGTATAGATCGTAAAGTAGCTAAGCATTTCACTAGTCAGTTTAGTGCCATGGGACTTGAGAACCAAGGCTCTTTGGGATACACCTTACAYGCTGCTATGCAGAACGGCTCATTATCTAATGGATCGTCCCAGAATAGCAATGGACAYGCTAATACGGATGTTAACGGCAATTTAGGAACCGACAATAGGAATTCCACAATATCAGGTTCTTCGAAAAGCAGCTTACGAACCTCTAAGAGTAATGAGACATATTCCTCTAAAGCCAAGGTTGTGATAGGGACAACAGGTGCGGAGAGAGCAACCAGTTCATCTAGGGCATTTGAAGAGCGACCTTCAGATTATGCCGTCACATCTTCTGCAGGAGACGAGAGGTTAAAAGCATACTCTTTACTGAGGTCTGCTCTGAAACAACAGGACGACGAGAAGGATRCTTCTAATAATGTTTTAGCGGCTAATGGAAGAGAAAGAAAATCTTGCCAAGAAACTAGCACAGGGGTYGAGTTTCTCTCGTCTGAAAATACTAGTAGCTCAGGAGATCCCTCTGTTTGCAATGGGGACGAAAATTGGGACAGCGAAATCGAAAACACAGTCACTCGGGGACATTTTGTTTTRCAATTTAATGAAGTGATCCCGACGAGTATTGTATTTGAGGACGTTTCTTCGTCATCAGGAGGACCATCCGCAGAGCAGCATAGAGATTTGAAGGCCAGCAACTCAAAAAGAGCACCCATGCAGCCTGAGGCAAATCAAAAGAAACGAAATATAGGGAATATGAAAGACAGTGAACAGGAGAAAAGGCATGAGCATGGACAAGCTAAGAAAGGCGGTGAATCGTCTGTAGGATTTATTAAAAGTAGGAAAAACACCAAAAACCAGACAACGGAAAATTTAGTACGTAGCAATAAAATGACCAAGAAAGAAATTCCTGTGACTAAGAACGAATCTAAGGGCGATGCAGTTTCTTCTGAGGACGGAAAACGAGGAACTTTAATTTCTTCTGCAGGAACARAAGGATTGAAGCAAGTGGACCATAACAGAAGTGCTGGAAACTTGCCAAAGGTAACAGATGGAGCAGATGATAAGACCTTGAGTTTCCCTGCAAAACAAATTGGACGAAAAGTAATAGTCGATCAAAAAGGTATCAAGACTAACAGGAGAAGCAAAGTTTCGTCCAAGAAGACGCCAAGTTCTGTGACATTTGTCACRCCTGTTGAACGTGCTTCTGTGGACCCTTCTGCTTTACTACARGGTGATGTAGAGATGACAACGGTGTATGTTGGGGATTTTCCTATATTGGTGCCTGCGCAAAAGCAGYCTGTTCCTTGTGAAGACAGTTTAGGTCAGCCTACTCGTGAAGATCAGGAACTGGAAACAGGAAATAGACACATCTCCACGGACGGAAATGCCATTTCTAGGGAGGAAGGTATCACTCTACAAAATGTCGAAAGCCCTAGAAATCCTACAACTGAGGCAGAAGGAATGGTCTTGTCAAAGGAAATTGAAGGTGGCAATTCTGTCRACCGGAAGTTGGAGGATGGTAGAAAGCAAGACATGGATGGCTTTGAGGAGTTGGCACAATATCTGGAAATGACGCCACTGCAAAACACCACCGTACCAGATAAAGTACCACTGACATCTACAAGTGAATCGGTGTCTTCTTCGTCGTATGAAACTAGTGACACTGGAAGTAATCTTGGCTCTTGGCATCAAACGTCACCACCTTTAACTGAAGAAAACAACGACCAAGGAAAGAGCTCTAGTAACATCTGTCCAACGGATGACAATGCTGACACCTCCGGGGACCAAGCATCATTGGCGATAGAACAAGCTAACCATCAACCTACAGCACCCACAACTGAAGAACATTCACCTTGTGATATGGAAACGGTAGAAACTATTAAAACTGACCGAGACTTAGAGAACGTTTGTGGTGATAATGAAAATCAAGCAGCTACTGATCAAGGTGGCCTAACAGTGGATCCTTCAAGTGAAGCTGACATCAACCCAAATATGGCCACCCAGGAGCAGTTGAATGGTTTTCCCGAATGTCCATGGCCTAGTTCTGATGTCGTTTACCCAAATCCTGCCATGTACCCAGTACCTCAACAATATCCCTTCCAGATGCCTTACCCAACAGCGATGCCGTCTGCTTATGGGTTTTACCCTTCATTGCCTCACATGATGACAATGATTCCTGGACCTCAACATGCCCCTTACCCACCTATGCCTTTTGCTTCTCAAGGAATGATGCCGTTCGGGGGATTTCCACCAAGGTTTCCCATGGCGATGCCGATGTTTCCACCCCMGATGTACCCCACTGGCCAAGAAGATCAACGACYTTACCTTGACATGTCTGAGCAAGAAACAACACAGCAGACACTCAGCAGTTCTCCAGAGGTGCTAGGCATCCCTGATAACAGAATCCAAACCTTAGAACACCAGAATAACAAGACACCAACAGGAATTTCAAATGTATYATATTCTACTTCGTCAGACGATCATTCTGCAAGAAGCTCTCCATTTCCGCTTGATGACAGTTCTGGTATGACAACGCCTCTCACCACCCCCCACAGGTCGCCAATAGATGACAACTCTCCCGGTGCACTATCATCCAGTGACAAAGGAGGAAAAAGCGACCTCACTCAGAACAAACGTAAGGAGTACAGGAAAGACGCAAGACCCGCGAGGTATCACACTGATGAACGAAGTCGTCGCTCAAACAGGAATGGACCTTGGAAAGGAAGCACTTATAGAGATAGAAAAGATCTTTCGGAAAAGGGGCCGCGTGCCGATCTAGGAGAAGCGGCTGGAGATAAGACAAGAGGACGTGATGGTGGGTCAAAGAAACGGACGAAAGTCAAGAAAGAGGATAGTCATTCGAGGCATATGCAAGAACTAAGTGATCAGGATATAAAATTGAATAGCAGTTCTCCTAAAAGGCCGTCAAATTCACCAAAATCTGAACAGTTGACACCAAGAAGAGAGGCAAGAGACGTGAAGTCTGCGCATGGTACGTCAAAAATATCACCCCACAACTCCAGGGATGTTCAATCTGATCATGCTAGCCCACAGGCATCGCCAAAGATATCTAGATCTGAAAAACTAACCCCAACAAGGAAAGTAGAAGAAGATCATTCTTCCAAGACGTCACGTAGTGACACCAGAAGCGAAGAGTCAGGGYCATCACCAAAAGAAAAAAGAAATGCTTCAACTGATCCTGTTATCCAGCAAATGGCATCTACAATCTCCAAATCTAGTCAAGCCTCATCATCAAAGTCAGCTCATKCTGACTCGCAAAAATCACAACGGTCTGTTGAAATCAATAAAAGTTGGCCAAAAGATCGTGTTGAATCCCAGAAATCTTCTCACACTTCGAAACTACATGCACCACCCAGCAAAACTTCAACACAAGTTCGAACACACCCAAGCAAWTCTACAAGTCGCGACAGAGCTCTCGAGGTAGGTTCTATCTCTCCCAAAGAAGCTGAAAAACAGTCTCTGCCGGCACAACCCTTAGCGATGTCTGATAAGAAAAACGAGAAGCTTGTGTCCTCAGAAAAAGAACCAAAACCACAGGACCAAAAAGAYGAAGCTAACGTAACACCCTCTGGAAGCACAAACAAAGAGGTTGCAAAGCACCGTCCGAATGAGTCTCGTAACGCCGAAACTAGAAACATAAAATGGCCACAGTCTGCTCTAGCAAATAAGAAGCTTAAAGAACTGCCAAAGCCACAACGAGATCCAATTTCAAGGACTAGAAGGGTTAGAGATTCACATAGCAGTGGCAGCGAAAGAGAAAATAGGGCAGTGGGCCACCGCCAAGGTGTGATTTCTCACAGAAATGAAGACGTGAAGGGAACACCAAAATCCACCGATGCTACAGCAGGCGAAAATAAGTTCAAGGATAATAAAACTGCTAGTGAAAAGGAACAATATAAGGAGCCCTTCTCAGCTTTCGCAAAAGATTTAGAGACAAAGGGCGAGGACAGGCTGCATAAGAATTCAACTGGCCATCAAAGGGATTCAAAGAGTAGTAATAACTATAGGGATGTTCTTCTAGGAAAACAGAGCACGAAACCTAGTTCTAGAACTAATGAAACTGCATCAAGTGATAGCGTGAAAGAGGGAAGCTCTAGTGCGATKGAGCCGCGACCCCACCCTCAACCTGCAACTGCTGTGGAAAAAAATCAACCCATGCCAGAAAGTGGAACAATTAAGAATCTCCGTGGTACTCCACAGCCAGGAGATCGAGAGAAACCCTTGAGGAAGGAACATAGACAAGAAAAGGAAMCTTTAAAGGAACAATTTTACAAGGAGAGCAGAGAAGTGAATACACCACGTGGTTCGACCATGTCGCGTGAACCTACTCCTAGCACCAATACCAGGAATCCTGGCCGTTATAGACACTGTGACACCAAAAACGATAACAATTTCCAATCTCGAAATACTGTATCGAAAGCAAGCAAGAGTTAACTATTGAAACAAAGTTCACGTTTTGACTGTGACGTTCGCTTAACATAGTTATAAGGAAATAGATATGCCGATCTTCGCGAATTTCAAATTAACATTGGCCTTAGGCTTATTCCGCCGCAAAGATATATAGGCATTAGAAGAGTAACAACGTTATATAAGGCTTGATGAACAAAAGATTTGAACCGAAACCTAGACCACAATGCATCATGTTCAGGTTCAACAATTTTTGTCCCCATTTTTAGTGCCATAAATCGATGCAAGATATTCATGCCTCACTAGTTATTAGAAGAAGCAATCATGATATGATAAATGACAGTTTTGCGACAAATATTTTTATAGCGAAAAAGACGGTTATTTTATTAAATTTGGACAATTCAGTCATTTGTAGATAGAGTAWAATTTAAGAAGGACGCTGGATAAAGAACGTTTATCATTTTGTTAATGCTTTATTGTTAAAATGCGCACGTTTTGGTTTTATTGTTTTAGCGTTTGAAGCCTTTGATCTAGGATATTATCGTTTAATTTTCGTTAGGATAAATGATGACAAAACTGGAAAAGCAATGAAAAGCGTTATAGGATGAAAATGCAAATAATGGAACARTTTTGGATACGAGATTTGACTATTGAACAAATGAAAACGTTTTTGTTAGGCTTTTAGGAAGTTGTAATCAGAATGGTATTTTCAGTTGCAAAAGAAGAAACTTACTTTGTGTCTAAATGCTCAAAATATAAGCTGTTGTAGCTTGCTTATTTATTTATTTGAAAATATGTGACCTTTGTAAAATGTTGCACAGTGTATGAAGATATTTCAAATGATAGTTATTGATATGAACTGTAATGATTTATAGGATTAAAAAAATATTACTGTTGGTTAAAATAAAGGGTTTTACTATAAATTTCCGAAGGGTCAATAGGGACTTTAAGATTTGCAAAATCTACGACGGCGACGTCAACCGGAAGTGTAARTRATTTCTCTTTGGGGTTCTGTTCATTGGAGATTTCATTCCAAACATTGTCAGTAAAGTCAACTCATCCATAGGGAAGACAGACTTTGAAGGCGYGAAACCCCAAAGTGAAGTTATTTACACTTCCGGTAGACGTCGCCGTCRTAGATTTTTTCAAATCTTGAATTCCCTAATAGCGTTATATCCGACGGATAAATCCTTATCCAGTGGATACGTCGATGCTGTTGTCTGTTACCCACTGGATAAGATTTATCCGTCGGATAGCGCTATACACCCTTCGTGCAAAAGGCCCTGGTGTTAATGTTGATGTCATGCATAATCCTCTCACTTGTACTTGAGTTTTGAGGATTCCAGTTGGCGTCATGCATGAGAATTACGCAGATAGATCTATGACATCTAACCATTATAGAGGGGATTTRGATCTGTAAGAGTGGGAAACGACACTCGGTAAATTCGTAGTCGTAGCTGTAGCCGTTGGATAAATTACTAAAAATCTATGGGAAGCCAAATCAATCTTACGGCATATCTTACTAYGTACGTGCTGTAAGTCAGTACCGTATACAAAAAAWWTTTTCTCTAGAGTTTTAGGCGTTTTGAATAGCAAAAAGCCGATGGAAATGTTACGGGATCGGCCAGGAGGGGATCGGCCGGGACCACCAGCATCCAAGCCTGAGCCTTTGGGCTCCCTGTGTTATTGAGTCAACGTGTTAGCTACATTCAAGATGGCGGACATTTGGTTTGTTGTTTGGTGTTTTTTGCCTTTCATATCTTATTCCATTCAAGGAGAAGCCCCAACATTAACGGGTATAAACTTTGAACATAAAGTATTTAGAAGTCCTCATTTTGTGATGTTCTACGGGCCATGGTAAGACTTTATGAATATTAATTTTAAKTCAAATTTGTTAGTTTGGCCAACACCGTCAAAAACACGAAAGAAAACTTTCAAAAAAGTACAATATAGACATTTTCCTTTCGTATTTGTCTTGCTTATAGGTAGATTTTACCTACCACTTAGTTGCATAAGTCGTATTTTTGTTATTAAGATAGAAAACTTTACTTTTGTTTGTGATGTCCTCTGGATTTTTCAATCTTATCAACTGCGAGATTAATTTTGTAAAATTAAAATTTTAATCAAGCTTAGTTTGTAAAGGTTATTTTTTGACTTAGGTTATTTCAATTATTTTATTAAGGCGTAAGAGTAAAACTAAAATAAATGTTCCATTAAAATGTTTCATATTTTCTTTCTTTTCATAATAATCTCGTTCTGTGTCTTTTCATACACTTTGGAGTCTCAAGTTTGTTTTTGCAAGCTAACTCATTCATTATTTACAATCACTACAGCCAATCAGAGCTTAACATMTGGATGAGATGGAGGTCATTTGATACCCAATACTTCTCCTCAGAGGGAAACCCCTTAGCTTGAATCAAGAATCTAAATATAATTGATATTATTATTAAATTTTAGTAAAAATACACAGGTGGGTGATTATTGAAAATCTGGCGCGCTGATTGGTCGAGAAACTCACACTATCACACAATAAWCACCTCGAGCGATAATCCAAAATGGCGCCGGCCAGCTGCTTTGTTGCTGTTACTGGGAAAAAATGCCTTTTATCTTSTTTTTTTCTTTTTTTGAAGGAATCACCTGTGTATTTATACTAAAATAATTATTTGCCTCAGCCTAAGTGAATATCGGAAATATTTACCTCGCTGCTCGAAGACCCGCATCTCAGTAAATATTCCCCGATATTCACTTCACCTTCAGCGAATAATTGTTAAATATTGATATTGTTATTAAGGGTAGCATTAATGGCATATGCTACCAACCCATGGCCTTAAACCACCGTGGTTCCAAAGGTTCGGGTCACTGGTTTGAGCCCTGCAGACACCATATGTGAATTGAGTTTGTTAGATGTATGTTCTCTCCTACTATGCTWCACAGGTTTCAGAGTTTTCTGAGTTCTCTTGTTTTCTCCCTCCATAAAAATCTTCATTTGAGTGTAGTGTGCATAGAATATTGAATGAAGTGGTAGTATGTGTGAGTGAAAAAGTGTCCCCAATAGACCATTTTGGTGCATCCAACTTGCCSGGCCACAAAACTGAAAAACACAAATTCATTAAAATTGAGAAGCCAGTTTTATATTCAAGAGRAGAATTATAGATTTAAGGAACCTTTTCCAAAAATAATTAATAGCAATGCATGACAATACTCGTCATAAAGTTCATGTTCTGGTATCAAGGTCTGTCAAGTTCTTTAAATTTGGATGCACACGCAATCTTGAGAAAATGGACTATTGGTGTAAAAGTGCTTGAATGGCTAGACACCTAAATAAGGAATTTTTTTTTACTTTTTTAAATACTGAAATGGAGGTTATTTTGTTAGGTGTGAACACTGTAAGAACATGATGTCGGCATGGAATGATTTATCCGATCAATATGCAAAGCGAGATAAGCTACATGCAATTAACATTGTTAAGGTAAGAATTTCCCTTTCTGGACCTGGTTGTGCAAAGATAATGATGGATAATGATCCATGTTCGGCAGATAAATTGACTTATCCACTGGATAAGACTTTATCCATTGAATAGCACTATATCCACTCTTCGTACAACAGAGCCCTGAAGGATTCAGGTGCTCCATGTTAGTTTACAGTGCACATCACAAGGTAATCACTGTAGAAGTAACTAATGTGGCTTCTTTTAATCTCAGGAAAACAAATCCAGTACAGAAAATGCATTCTTATTTGAAATTCTCATTTGAATAGGGGTATAAAAGGTACACAATTATCAATTTTTTATGGTTTTCATTTTAAAACATTAAATGTTTTGCAGGTTGATTGTACAGCTGATACTCCTTTATGTGCTAAGCAAAACATCAAAGCATATCCAACGTGAGTACTATGTGTAGATGAAGAGCAACTCTCTTGTTAGTTTATGAGTCATTTATGGTTGAATTGTGAGGCAGTCTGTCTGGAATGACCCAGGGACCCCTTGCAGCACATCGAAATGCAGCTCAGTTTGGAGGACATATTAGTAGGTTTCCTATTATTCTGATGAGGAAATTGAAAAAATGAAAGTAAATGCCATTCCTATAAATATTAAAAAGGCAACGAAGTATGGCCTAAACGTTTTGCTAAAAGTTTGCTAAAAGTTTTGCTAAAAGTTGTGCATGAATTTGTCACCCAAACTAAAAGTTTCTGTTTGTTTGTTTTTATTGAATTATTATATATGAAAATAAGTTACTCTGTACACAAGTTGGTATATGCTAAAACAATTATTCGCCTCAGGCTCAGTGAATAATTATGGAGAATATTTACCTCGTCGCTCGAAGACTCGCGTCTTGGTAAATATTCCCTGATATTCACTTTGCCTTCGGCGAATAATTGTTAAGTATCCTCTGATGCATCATATATTTTGTTGTTATTTGCATATGTCATATATTAACCAAATGTAATTTTTCATTCATTGTAATTTATCCATTATTTTGATAGCCTGCGACTGTATCATGAAGGATTCACCAAGAGATATAACGGGAAGAGAAGTGTTGCTGAATTCATGAAATTTGTCAACCAGCTGGTATTTAAAGAGGTAYATGAAGTCAGCCTTTGACTTGACTGACACATGTTAGGGGTGTACAGTATCAAATCAGGCATTGGAGCTGCTGGATCTCTTTCTGTTTGGAATGCATTTTTTTACCATTCTTTGTCCAAAAGTTCCCCAGAATGCAGCAAATACCATTTTTGAGAACCATATTAGTTTTTTTTTACTTAATTTCTTTGAGAGCATGCCCCTGGATTGGACCTCCTCTGTTTTCATTTTGCATAGTTCAGTGGTAAGATTTCTCAAATGCCTACTTTTTATCCCACTTCTCAGATTTCTGGGTCCRTCCCTTCCTGTCATTTGGATCTTTCTGTTATAGGACTCATAGTACTGTACTACTCTATCCATGCTTATAAATCAAAACTATACTGTCTGTTAAGGTCAGAGTAGATTTTAAAACTGAATTATTTTTTATTTATTTTCAGGTTGTCAATAAAGATTCAGTCACTGTTGTCAACAATGTCAAAGTTTTGACCAAGAAGAATTTTGATGAGCAAACAGAAATAGGACTACACTTTGTTAAATTCTATGCTCCATGGTATGTTGCCACATAATGTATGTTTTTTATGCCACACCAATGATCTTGAACGTCCTGGGGACAAGAAAAGGTTCAAAATAACCAGGTTGAGATATCCAGGAATAATACACCCCCCCTCTCAGTCCTTTAAATCACTGCTGGGATACATGAGCGCTGACAGTCGTTTTCTGTTCTTTATCAATTCAAAATCAGCGTCTCTACAAAAAGCTATATCAGCATACATTYATCAATGTATGCTGATTTGTGAAAACGAAATAAGAAAAGTACCTAATACATAGTATATATATATACCTATAATATATTTGGTACTAAACACCCATGTACTCTTAAGTATAAGGTGCCAAATATATTGTATTGTATTGTATTGTGGTACATGATAACGTGGTTATTTGTTCACCCATGCTTATGCCCTCTCCCCTCCCCCCACACTTTTAAAAATGCTGTGCCTCCCCTGCATTAGTTATCATTTAGTAGAAGATAATGGAAGGTTTGAGATACCTGGGATTTGAGATAATGGACTCGACTTTAAATATAAATAACTTTATTTCTATTTTCCTAAGGTGTATCCACTGCATCAAGCTTGCACCTATCTGGGAGTCCCTGGCAACCAAATACAAAGACTCGCCTGATATATCGATTGCAAAGGTATAACAAACACTGTCACCATGCTCTAATCAATGTCTGGAATGATCTAAATTGGGGTTAAGCTAACTCACAGATCAAACCCTGAACACCCTCTKGGCTGATCAAAGTCAAACAATCAAACCTGAGACCGAATATAATGACCCCACTGAGGCTAATGTGCTATTTTTTKTCACCTTTGACTCCCTAGAAAAATTTGGAAAAGAATGCAGCTAGTGGGAAAGGCCTCTTGAAATTTTTTTATTTTTTATTTGATACACTTTAGAATGATAATTTGTTAGAATGGTTTAATTTAAAATCAATAATTATAAATATAATTACAGATAGATTGTACAGCAGAAGGAGCAAAGTGCAGTCAGCATAATGTGAAAGCATTCCCAACACTCAAGCTCTTTAAAGATGGAAAAGAGGTAGAATTAATTTGGTAAAAGATAATTATATCTTACATGTCTCACATTTTACTGTAACTATGGGCCATAATAAGCTACCAGCATTACTATTTTAATGATGTATTATTTTTTATAGATAAACCAATACACGGGTGGACGGGCATTAAAAGAGCTGGAGACATTTGTGATGTCACAGATAGCTTTCAATATCAGGCCAGCTACAACTGACAGCACACAGTCGACTATTGAACATGTAGACCACTCAGCCAATGAAGAACCACCACCACCTGCTACGGAAGACAGTGAAGAAGATATGGTATGTAACATACTAGTTAGCAATTAGTCCTCAAGACAAAATGAGCTATAAGTCACAATGTCATGAAGTAATTATCAAATTGTCATTGTCTCTAATCTAAATTTTATTTCTATCACTTTCAAGATTAAACCTTATCAGCTGAATGAAAASAACTTTGACTCCTTGGTTTCCTTTGGTACCACATTTGTCAAGTTCTATGCACCTTGGTGAGTTGAGCTGCAGTCAGACTGTGTAGTTTAGTATCTGTAAGAGTGTATCTTTGGTATATGATTCAAAAGCCTCAATCAATCAARTGTGTCAAGGGGATTGGTGTAATAAGTGCACTGGCCTCTGAGGCCCCTTCTTAACTCTGGGGCCTCCGTTTTGATTTTTTGGAACTGGCAATAAAGGAAAGTGAAGTTTGTTAGGTCTTTCCTTTGAATTAAGGGTTTTTCTCCAGGTTCYCTGATTTCCCTTTTTCTGTAAAACCTAATGATCAATTTATGAGTTAACTAGCAATGCCTTGACTTTGTCCGCCCAAAGGTTATTTCAGGGGTTGGGAAAACTGAAAGTTAAGTTAATTTTGAATTAATATTACCCTTCCATACTTACTGCTGATAATGGCCTATTCAGACTTTTTTACTTAAGTAACAGCACACACAATATGACCTTTAAAAAGGTTTGTCTTAATTTTCTCATGCAGCTCCCCCACTGTTTCCATGGCAGCTGTGGACAATGACTCTTTTTGATATGGTTAAATTTTTGCAAATATTGTATGGTAAAGTCTGTCTCATAATTACAATAGGTGTAGACATTGTAAGATTCTTGCTCCAACCTGGGAACAACTGGCCAAGAAATGTGCTGAAACAGCTGCAGGACCAAAGATTGCCAGGGTAAGATTTGATTTATTGGTTGTATTTTTTCAATGGTGAATGAGTGTTGAGTGGTCGAGTGTCTGTTTTACTCTGTGGAGGGGTGGGGGGGAGGGTGGTGGTAAGCAGGTGACAGAAGGGTGTTGTCTGGAAATGGCCTCAGGAGTTTCAATTGATAGTATATTATTAGAAATTACAATATCTTGGTTTGCGTGGATGAGAGATTTTTAGGAAGCTCAATTATATGTCTATYTGTATAAATTTCATTTTGTGTTACTTTTTGTTTGATGTTAGGTGGACTGCACTGCTGAAGAAAAACTCTGTCAAACCTTTGGGGTAAGTCAGATTCTGATCATGAGCTAAGGGACATATGGTTATGGTCTAGCTCATAAAATAAAAAATGAAATGGGAATCAACAGTAGCATTTCTACAGATTAGCTCTTCATCCACTAAAATTCAAATTGATTTTTGCAGAGGGAGGAAAACCAGAGTACCCAGAGAAAAAACCTTGAAGCACAGGAGAGAATCCTGACAAGCAATTCTACTCACATATGGCACCAAGTTTGGGAATCCGACCCAGGTTGCCTTGGTGAGAGGCAAGCACACTCTCTCACTCACTCACCATTATGCCACCAGTGCACATTCTGGTTTCTGTGGTATAAAGTGACCAGAAGTATTACTACCCATCTACCCCTAGTATGGGATGTCCAGCCACCCACTTAATCTGGCTGCATTTATCTAGGCTACCAATCAAAGGCAGAACTAGACTTGTTGAGCCAGAGTCCATTTCATTATTGAATCATTTAAACCACATTTTTCATACCCAGACAGGTCTCATATAGCTCTGAAAATTTCATAGTAAGCAAGTGATGAGTAATGATTATGAGAGTGCTACATGTATACCAAAGCATGTTCACTCTKTATGGTCAATATTTCCATTCACTGTGGTTAGCTTAAAGGTTATGTCATTGATTTTAACTGTGATGTTGCCATGTGTCCTAAGATTCCACAGACATAAAAAATCTATAAATTCTTCTAGACATCCTGCCAACATATTTAAATATTATTCCTCTTCAGATTAACGGTTACCCCACCCTCACTCTCTTCAAAGATGGTCAACCAAAACAAGAATACAATGGCAACAGAGACTTGGAAAGTTTGTATAGGTTTGTGATGCAACACCATGACAAAGAAGAATTATAGATATAAAACTGCATGCTAATGTTATCTTACTCTTAGCATTCTCTGTCCTGAGGAAAATAGCCCCTGAGGGAGGGGGAGGGGGAGGAAGGGGGTGGATCCTGATGAGAGTCGTTTTCTCATGGTAAGAATAATTTGTTTTTGCAAGAGCTAAAGTTAAGTAATGGTTAAACCTCTGGTGCAGAGATTAAGGCACACACTACCAGCGGCCTTGACTGTAAATAGTTTTATAAATTATAAATATTGTTATTATTGATATGATAAAGATCCCAAATAAAAGGGAAATCGTTGAATACTCAAGAGGTCACAAACAGTTTGAATGAGGCAATGGGAATCTTAAATTTTACTAACATTCACTTGTTTGACCCTTACCTTTTTCTCMCAATTTTTCCCATCCTCTTTTCCTTTCATCTGTTTCCCACTTCTATCTCTTTACTCCTCCATCCACTTTTCCCATTCCTTTTTCTCTTCTTTTCTTTAGACTACTTCTCTACTTTTTTCATCCCATTTCTTCTTCATCTCCCACTCCTCTTTATTTTTCTCTCATTTTAAACTTCCCATATATCTGCCATATTCTCTCTTATCAGKCAAATAAAATTTTAATTTTCCCTAATTAGTTCCATAAACTAAATACATCGACATTTAAATGAAAGTTTTAACTKTTATTTAAGTGTCGATGTATTTAGTTTGTGCAACTAATTAGGAACACTGAAATGAAACTGAAATGAACGAATGATAAGAAACAAAGTGCTTTACCGCCATTTGCATTGCTACGCGGCCACCCCAGACAAAAATCGCAACGTGCACTTTGCAATAGACTGCCGTCAATCAAACACGTTGAAGCCATTTACACGCGCGTGTGATTCAAAAGGCGCCAAAACTTTGTTCGATTGTTTACAAGTATYATGAGCCACACTCACCGGGCCTATCCGGGCCGATCCAAACGCGTGTAAATGACGTCAACTTGTTTGATTGACGGCRGTCTATTGCAAAGTGCACGTCGCGATTTTTGTCTGGGGTGGCCGCGTAGCAATGCAAACGCCGGTAAAAATCCCAACTGGCAAGGATGCAAAGCAGTTGGCTATTTACAAGCATGGTCGAGAAACTGAGTTTGAACTAATCAGAAACCAGGACAAATACAGTCTCAGCTAGTGGCCACAGCGGGACTCACCGGGTTGCAAGAGGCTATGACCACACCACCATGCTGCCTCCTTCAAGTTCTTAAGTTTTTGAGCATAAAATACATCATAATTATATATCAGTATACATAAAATCTGTCTGATATTATGTATACTAAAATACCAATAAAACTGTTTTGCATAATTTTATGCTTGCTAGGCAACAGTATTTTTTAGAACTACCCATAAATTAAACCTTTTAAATTGAATGGATTGTAAAGGACAATTATATGAAATTATTCCTCAATAAACCATTAACCATTTTAAAAACCCTAATGAATGATTCTACTGAATCATAAGCAATTAAAACCTGCTTTTCATGGTGGACCCAAAAGTCATCTTTCTATATGATTGACATTACGATAAATCACATGGAAAGGGAGAGAGGATCTAGGATTTTCCTGGGGGGAGGGGGTGGAGGAGGGGTGCGGAGAGGAAGTCTAGATACTGAAATTATATGAGTCACTTGTTGATATGTTCTTTGTAAGTTAAAGCAGATGGTGTTTGTTATTGATTAAAGAAAGAAACTATACCCAAGGGAATGATATGATGGGTTACTAAAACACGGGTTATCATTGTATTTTTTTTTTTTTTCAGTCTTGTTTTTAGTATTATGTAGTTTATTAAACTTCTGAATGCATATTTACATCCAGACCTCATATGGTGCCATGCGTAACCTATGGAACTATCATGAAAACCTAATTTACAAACAATTCTGGAATCCTAAGTTACTAAAACTATTTGCAATATAACAATAAATCAGAAGCTCCTATAATACTGAGCTAAAATGAATAAAAGATAGGGGGAAAACTTGACTTACTATTCCTCTGAATTACCTTAAACATGTCTATGCACCTTTACTAGAAAACCCTAATAGAGTGCTCACACTAAATCCGTGAAACAAATACTAATTTTTAGCACTAAATAGTGATAATTAAACAATAGAAAACAAAGGATTCTGTATGAAATAGTACTAATTAGTACTATTTAATGTTCACGGTTTTAGTGCGTGCACTCTATCTATACTCTTAAAATAATCATGTAATAATCTAAAGTTTTTTGCAATGTTAAAAGAATGACTAAAAACTTGTCTATGTATCGTGACTAGCAGAAACTATCATCATCATCATCATAAGTTATCATTATCATCATCACCTAACATACGGCTCTCGGAAACGAAAGTTTTAAATTAGAATAAAATTCTTCAATTTGGTTAGCAGGTTCAAGTTAATCTATCAAGAAATTACGTAGTTTTAATTTAAGAGCGGTTAATCTAGAGATTGGACGGGCAAGCTGTTGCATGCTTTTTTGTTGTTGGTGTAATCGTTGTTGTTGGTGGTGTTCATGTCATCGTTGTTGTTGTTGCTGTTGTTGGTGTCATCGTTGTGGTTGTCATGGTTGCTGCTGTTGTAGTCGTTATCGTTTTTCGTCATTAGAGAGTTTTAGAATCTCGTATACGACAAATGTGAAACGTGAAAAGTTAACTATCAGTGAAAACTTCTAAAATCGCCAAAATCTTTGTTGAGGAGGTACTGTATGCAAAAGGTAAAGTGAAATGCAGAGAAACGATGAAAACGTGGTCAAATTTAACGTTTGTTGGAAGAAAAAATGTGAATCTAAAACTCTAATATCCAACATGGTTCTCTGCTAGCAGTCCTAATTCTACCTTGATGTGCAGGGGGAGTCTTTCTTTTTATTTGTAAAAAAAGGAATAGGACTGTTCTAGCAGGGAACCAGTTACTTCCATGGCCTTGTTTTCGGAGTGCACAGGGAGCCCACCCCAGAGATCGCTTAGAATATGGCTATTTTCTTTTGGATTTCCTTTTTGCAGATTGCACAAACACTAAGATGTTCAGCGCAGACCTGACATGCGCCATGCCCGCATGAGAAGATGATATTTTTCTTCCTTTCCAGACATACACAGCAAGTTACCATCTCCTCGAGTTTCTTTAGCTTTTTCTCCGTTGATTGCAACTTTTCTTTCGCGTCCATGTCCTCTTTTTCGACTTTAGGAGGTACTTTTTTTCCATCTAGAAGGAAAATATTTGAATCTGGAACTGAAATCCTCGTTGAGATACGAATTTGCGAATGACTTTGGCAAGTAGATATTTTTAGTTTTTTTCTGATTAAATGAAAGGGAATTTTAAATATCCTAAATTGATTGTCTTTGTTGACTTACCTTCAGTTGTCTTGTTCATCACCGGTTGCTTGCATTCTGGACAGCGTTTAGCTCGAACAGAGCACCCTACAATGCGAATAGATGAGATGCACAAGAAAATGGGAAAGCCATTTCAGTGTTAAGGCATGTCTTACAAGTACCTTCCGTAGATGAGATGTGCAATTTGAATGTTACTGGTACCTGAAACCATCTAGCATGCGTCTTTGATGCAGTGCGCAAAAACGAAATCTGAAGCCACTATAATGTTAATGCGTCCCAGGCGCAAAAACATGGAGAGGAGGTTCAAAGTTCAAACAAGCCATGTCATTGCTTATGCATGCATTCCTGACGTAGCTTCTGCGCAATAAAAAGGGTTAAGGCATTCCTAACCCTATAACGATGACGAGATGCATGAAAGCGGCAATCGCGCATAGAGGTATGCGTGCAATGTTCCAGTACCTTTACACAGGACAGTGTGTCCACATGGCTTGAATACAACGTCTGCTTCACCATCGATGCAAATCAAACAAGTCCTCTCAGTTTTCACCTTTTTAGCTTCCAGTGTCTGTGCATTTTTAAACCCATCTATTGAACGAGTGGCCGTTGGTTCGCTGGCCTGCGCAGTGTCTTCTTCCTGAAAATACACAAGAATATTTATTTCAGTTCAAGGTAAGATTGCATGACAAAGTATTTCACATCTATCACTGAATTTTTTTGTTTATCGATTATCTCTCATTTGACTTACTTTTTTGCTTGCAAAGTTATTAACTATATTCATTTTTTCACTTCCAGTTGGTTTTTTCTCTTCCTTTACCCTGGAGAAAGCAGATATAAATACATCTTACAGGTAGTCGGCAAATAGCATTTGCATATAAAGTCTACAAACGAACGTCAACACAAGAGTCTCTTGTAACTCAGTAAACCCAAGACGTTTTTCGCGAGAATATATTACGAAAGAACCTTGATGCAACGTCTAGCAATGTAATCATTGCACATAGATGAGATCTAACATAGATGACAAGTGTTAAGGCATAACGTACACTCTTACCATCGTGTACCATTAGGTAAGATGCATAAGAACATGAGAAGCCATTTCATTATCAACTTTATTTTTTCTTGAATTTTTTCGGATTGAAATCTTTAGTACACCTGACAACTTTTTGCTGGTATGATTTGTTCGACTGCAGATTTCCAGCCATAATTCTTAGCTGTTCTTCTTGAAGTCGCGAAAAATGTTTTGAGATGCACGGAAAAAGCGTGCTGCTAAGCCATCACCACTTGATATGCTCCTGATACTATACTGATCGGTACTTACTTGGTCTCTTCAAAGGCTTTCTTGAGGTCAGGTTCAGCTTTGGTGCCTTCACCGTATTCCATGGGAGTCTTGCCAGCCTGATTAGGTTGACGTACATTAGCACCATGCGATATCAAGTACCGTGATATCTCTGTGTACGAACTAGTGCTCTTACCAAACAGACCAAGCAGCTGTAAAATATGTTGGATAAATGTTGGGTTAATGTTAGGACCATCTCTCAGGGTCGTTAGGAACACGCGGATATCTCTGCGTATAAACTGTCACTGTTTTCATGGTTACCTTAGGCTCGCAATAATCGACCTTCAGAGCACACTAGATTATCAGGGAGCTTTCCAAGTTTCTGCGACCCACACAGCTCTAGATGCGGTATATTTGCTCGTACTTGGGTTTCCATCCACTAGTATCAATTAGACCTCAGTCTTTAACTTAGGTCAGTGCAAGTTTTTCAGACCATGTATTATGAGAATAAGATTCTTTGACGGAGTTGTATCCATATTCATATATCGTCTCATTAGCTATCGTTAAACGAGGAAATGATACTCTAAATAACAAGTGGTCCGAAATGGGAAAACATTACCCCCAAGGTAAAGTTTGGTTTACTATTTTACAACGGTCTTAGATAGTAATCTTTTAATTGACAGAATCCAAAGACACGTCCGTTTGAGAGTTGTCTAGGTCGCAGAAAGATGGCTTATGATTTATGTATGTAATTATTACCGAGCCAATTCTTATTTTCTCGCGCATAAGAGAGACGTGAAGAGGTGTATCACCATCCTCATCAACTGCGTTGACGTCTGCCCCGTGCTGCTCTAAGATCTTGACCATCTTCAGGTATCCTTCATGTACGGCTAACATCAGTGGTGTTTGGTCGTTTTTCGTGCGACAGTCGACCTTACAATCATCCTAGAAAACGTACATTTTTCATTGGTTAAATTGGAACATAGTGGTAATTTGGAACTCAAAAATGGTCTATTGCGAATTACCCATACATACTGATTGCACTTAAATATTTTTCTAGATATAATGGAAAAGGTCAGAACGTCGTACAGGCATACAAGACTTACCTGTGCCAGGATGATTTCAGCAATGTCACAGTGATCATTGACAGCGGCCAAGTGCAAAGACGTGAAACCATCTTCTTTGGGCACGTTCACCAACTCTGGAGACTTGGCAAGTAATTTTCTTGTAGCACTATTGATAAATAAACCCATGGTAGTTTTGTACTTGAGGATTTAACACAACTTTTGAAGATGCTTACGAAATATTCCTTTTTCGAATTCGTATATTATCGCTGTGTTCCTTGACTGCAGATTCATTTTCGCAGGGTTAGCCTCGATTTTGTGCAGAATAGTTGTGTTCCAGTGAAGGTCCTTGGAATTTCAAAGTGTATGTATTTTTGAAGTTGTGCATTCTTTACTTTACCGTTGGTATTAGTGAATATTCTGACGCTGAAATGAGGCTTTTCCCAACTGAGTAAATGAGTCTATTATCTAGGAATAAAGCGGTAATTTACGAATTTGAAAAAAGTCTACTTTGTGTCCATCTGTACTTACTATGAGTTGCCTTTGTACGCTGCCAAGTGCAGGAAGTTGAATCCACTTTTGTTTTTCAGCGTGAGGTTTATTTTCGGCGCGTCCAAGATCAAGTCAAGAATGTTGTTATTTCGTTTTGATATGGCGTGGTGCAGGGGCGTTTCTCCAATTACGTCCTATAATAATCAAGTATTCTTGGGTACTTGTGATGTCATAGCCGCCATGTTGATTGACTTGAACGAAAGATGTGGTCTTGGTGTCTTTTGTCATATCATCAAACATGGCGGCTATGTCTTCATTTCAGTTCATTTCTACAGTGTCATTGGGATTAATGCACACTACAAATATGAAGGCTAGTTAATTGAGAGATTACTTCCACTCATATTTTCAAAGTCAAATTGATTCTTGATTTTAAGAGGAACGATTGGTTTTAATTTGCTTATGACATAAAGGGTCCAGAGTCAAGTCTACTGTGCGCACGAGCCAGAAATTTAAGGCCAAGGCTAACGAGGCCTACCTTCATGTGTTAGCCATTCCGAGGTTGAATAAAAGACTTGCTCAAGTTGTATTTGCAATGTTTTTTGGTATTGTTTTAGGGGACGAAACCTAGACGCCTATTTAAAAATATGCACATTAGAACAGTCCCACAATGCACTGTAATGCGAACTCAACCCAGTCTTTTCCTCAATCTCAGAATGGCTAATACAGCCTCTCACTAGATCATGCTGAAAGATAGGTTGACTATTTGATTTACCTGCAGATTAACATCACAAGTAGCTGTCTGCACCAGTATCCTAACAGCATTGTCATTCGATTCTTTGACAGCCAGATGTAATGGTGTGCATTTGGTATCCTTCTCAGCGATGTTCGGATCCACCCCGTGCGCAATCATTAATTTCATTGCTTCGCCGCTTTTATCTCTAAAAAAAGACAAAAATAAAGTCTCTGATTTTCCGTCAAAAAAATCTCTCAAAAGTAAACATGTTCGGACGCGTTGGAAACCATGGCTTGAACCCCTTAATACGACAATGGTTCAAAGTCAAGGCTAAACTTGACAAATGACATCAAATGTATGAAAATATCAGGTGCTCGACTTGGAAGCATATTGTTTCGTGGTCACAAATTCGAGAAAGGTTCATAGCACAAATACCAACAGAAAGTTTCGCCTCATCGCATACCCATAAGCTGCGTGATGGATGGCTGTGTATCCTTGTCCATCCTAAAAAGAACGATTAAAAAACAGGTTAATTCAATTTATCTCATGTACGCAAAACATCAGCAGTAGAGAAAAAGCCTGAGTGCAGATCTTTGGGGGAGGGGGAGGGGGTGGGCTGGGAGGGGGATGTCACGTGGGTACAGCAATGTAACGGATAATAAATATTTTGGTACAAAGTTTGCATCCTGTTCTACAACATAGCTGCCCTGCTCCCATTCTTCATCCACTTTCAAACATGTTTCTTATGAAGATTTCTTCCTTTCAATGTAGATATATGTCGCAGATCTTTGGTACCTTGATTGAAGTATCAGCGTTCTTCTCCAGCAGTAGCTGGATAATGTCACAGTAACCGCTGTGGCATGCATGGTGCAGACAGGTCTTTTCAATCAGTGACGACTTATAATTTACCTGGAAAATAATCAAAGGTACGCCGAGTAGTTGATTTTATGACTTTACAGTGCTTCTTGATAGCACTTGCGGAATTAGATAGCTCATCTACGGGGGGAGGGGGTGGGGTGCGCTGGTTTGTTTTGAGTCCTCTTTTTACTTTATTAGAGACACGTCATGAAAATATTTATGCAGACCAAAATAGGTTTTGTCTTGATATAAGGTATAATGCCTACCAGTTCAGGGCGTTCATCGAGTGACATGTGACAAGTGACCATGAGCTGCAGCTTGCACGAGAGCCAGTCCTTCATCATCTTCTTTCTGTTTCTTCTCGTTCCCAGTAAACATTCCCGAGAATACATCTGTCAATACTGCATCTGCCAATACTGTAACACGATTAAGCAAGGCAAGTCTGAGTCAAGGTACGCTCTCAAATACACCATGGATAAAAACATTCCCTATTTGCCTCTCTCCAAAATAATTTCGACATTAGTCTACGTAGTTTAGTTTAGAGGGTAAAACGAATCTTATGGTGCATTTGACGTCATAGTCGCCATGTTGCTTCTATAACTCAATATTTTCAGTGATGATTTTGCATGAAGTGAAGAGTTAAATGGTAAAATATTTGTATACAATTTGAATGATGCAACTTGGGGATATCAAGGTATATTCTTCCAATATGTTAATGACTGTGATGTCAAAGAAGGCATTATTAAATATTCAAAACTTTTCTGGGACAGTCAAATATACTGTATAAAACATCATTTTCTTACTCAGGGTTTATAGAAAGGTTATGGCAAATTTGTTTTCTCATAATAATCAATGTCTCAATTTACGAATGATGACAAACGTATATGCCTCCTTTGACGTCACATCATTAACATATTGGAAGTATTTTGTCATGGGCCTTCTTCGTTACAAGCAACATCATATATGGCATGATGAGCAAAATATATTCGTAGCGAAGCTAGACCAGAATGCAGCATGTTCGTTATCTCAGAAAAGGTCTATGACTGCCTACATGTATGGCAGCAATGTTTTTTGGTCTTTTTATTTTCATGAGAAGGGACGCACGCCACCTCTGAAGTATTTTAATACAAGAACAGGATTTACTACTTTTAAAAGACTAATGATCATTAACATTTTTACTTCAAGATACTGACGTTTCTTGAGAGCGTGCTGCTTTAAGAGTGCTTGTAGTGGATCTTCATCATCGTCATCACTATCTTCTTCCACTTCTCCGTCTGCAGCTGCCTCGTGTAGAGTCAAGATGGCGGCGTTTACCATCCAGGTTTTGTCATCCACTTTTATGATCACGTCATTGTCGCTGTCAACTTTCTTCACCGTGCCTATCTTTCCCAACATCTGAAAAAGAGAGAGTAACTTGTTGGTTATATGGGCATTTTAAAAAAAGAATGGTGATTTTGAATTCGTGGTATGTCTTTCATCCATCCATCCATCCATCCATCCAT